TAGATAGGATGATTCTGGGTGGTTTAAACTTTTCCCTACCCTGGAAGTTTTTCTTTCAGCCAACATGGGCACGGAGGGATAAAAAAGGAAAAAAGAAGAAGAAAAAAATAAGAAAAGAAAACCATTGGAACACGTGACTATTTCAGAGGGTTTTTTTTTTCAAGAAAAGAATTATTTATTCCCATATATCCAACTTAACCTGTTGTTTAGCTCTTATGGATTGTGAGAGGGATGAAACTAGTGTGAGACATAATTGTAGTATATGCTTTTTCCCCATTGTCTGGACTGATTCATTTTACTGTTGTAGCACACCCTTATAGGAATGAATTCGGCCTTCCCATTTACACTAAACTCAATTCAATGCGCTGATTATCATCTTTAAAGTTTGAAGTGAAATGCATTTTCTGTATCATGCTACCGGATATAATGCATTAAGCTTATCAAGCAGCTTTTTCTTAATGGGGGAAATGAGTTGCACAGTTGCAGGATTATCTCTGGTGGTGTCCTGATTGTTAAATAGCTTTCCAAGGAGCATATGATTGGTGTTGATCTTGCTTTTGATATGGTGCTAAATCAAAATGTTTTTACAGCATTTTAATTTGGGGGTGGGTATTTTTTTTTTGCCTAGTCATTTGAAATTTAGTTCATTTGTTTCCTAATTAATACTTGCGATGTCTCATACTTTGCTGTTTTATTTTTCTTATTATGTTATATTTCCTTCTTTATTTTTTAAACAATGTTTCATGTGCTGCCTTGCCCGCAATCTGTTGGAAAATTACACAGACATCCAAAAAATTATGAAAGCATAAAATGGAGTGGGTTTTTGTTTCTTTCCTTTTGTTTAGGATTTCTTTTTAATTTCTTGTTCACTTTATTTTAGATCCAAAGGACAGTATAACCTATCGGAATATTATCCCATGGATTGGTATGTATATTTAGTCCTGTAAAGTGAAGATTAGGGACAGACCATCAATAAGTAGTTTGACTAGAATTACAGTGGTGCCTCGTAAGACGAATGCCTCATGGGATGAAAAACCTGCAAGACGATTGGTTTGTGTGATCGCTATGGTGCCTCACAAGACGGTTTCTTCTATGGCCATGCTTTGCAAGACGGATTGTTCCCCCCCCCCCGAGACTGATGCCTCGCAAGACAAATTAATTTCATTTGTCTTGCGAGGTTCCCATAGTGAACCTCACAAGGTGATTTTTTTCACAAGACAGCAGTTCTTGTGGAATGAATTACATTCGTCTTGTGAGGCACCACTGTATATAGATCTACCTTCTTCATCGACTGGTATAGATACCCCTTATGTGGTCAGCTATACTAAAACTAGAGCATCCTTTGTCTGAAAATTTGTGATGAGGACAGTCTTCATTTTACGGACATTGTCTTGGAAATTTCCCTTGAAAGGCAATATAGAAATGCAGATAAAGGCATGCTTATCTGTTATGATGGAATATGCTTCCACATACAGTAATACAATTGAATACGTATTATAGAAGAATAAAAGTAAAGACAGGTTCTGCAGGTATATATTTAAATGCTTCAGTAGAATTTACATTCTCCATAGAAATTTCATATTTGACAAAATTTTGGTTTATTAAAAGAAAGGAAATGCGGATGAATTATTTAACTCTGGCATTTTCAGTGCATTTGCTATAAGATATTATTCGAAAGCTATGAATAGCTAGGTAGAATGCAGTTTTTGTATTAACTTGCCTATTAGGCATTTCATTTCTTTATAATTAGTTCTGAAATAAAATTTAGCCTGCATGTGTTCGCGCAGACCTACTCATGGAGACAAGGCATTGTTCTTACATTTCTAGTTTGTATCTTGATGCATTACAATCTTCATTTCAAGTCCATTTTCAAGGAAGGGAAGAAAACATTACATTTAAAGGCATAAATCTAATGGTTAGTCTCAACTAGAGTAGACCCATTTCATATGAACACTGGGATATATGAAATTCGGTTTACTTTTTTTTAAATCAACACATTGTGTTTCCAATGTGAGTTCACCCTCAACCTCCTTGGCCATTTTCATGAGCTAGGGAGAAGAAAGGAAGAAAAAAAAACCTGAAAATATCTTTAGAGGAAATCTGGAAGATATGTATTAAAATTGCTCCATTAGTAATAACTCAAGTGAGTAATAGCTCAGACATGAAATGGAAGAAGAGTTGATGATGCTACTGAATCAAAAATTTTGGTTGAGGTGGCCTATTACTTGGTGTGTCTGAATTTGGGCAGCTGGCTGATGTAAGAGCTGCCGCTTAGACTCTAAGCCTGAGCAGCTATGATGGAAAGTTTCAAAGACATCTCACTTCCAGGTTTTTGTTTATTACGGCTCCACATGCTAAGGAAAATTAGATAAATATGGCATAAAAATTATATTGCTGCTTAATATTCTCTGTAGTAGGGGAAATGGTTCTTTCTATGTCAAACTATGTTTATAGAGGTTTATGTGTTGGGAAATGCCTGTGTTCCTCCAGGAAAAGGCTTGCTGGTCTCACATGGACCAAAATGGTCAAAGCACCGAAAGCTGCTGACTCCAGGTTTCCACTATAATATTTTGAAACCATACGTGGCACTGATGGCAGAGTCTACAAAAGTGATGTTGGTAAGTGTTTTCTGATTTGCATTTTTAAACAATTGTTGTTAAAAGCATTTTGGTGACTACATCTACATGTTCTCACAAGCCATGAGGTATTTTGTGGAAATCTGGCTTGTTTTGACATGCATCCTGACCTCTGGGAACAAACCATGCCTTGCTAGCCAGCCATAAGCTGCACATATGCATGTGTCGTTGGTTCTTGGTTCACGAATTTTAGTTGACAAAGACATTTCAGAGGAACAAAGCAGAGACAAACAAAAATGGGGAAGACACATGGTTTATTTGGCCATCTGTTGTACAATTCATAGCTCAGTTAACAAACCATGGTTAGCACAAATCATATTTACTGTATTTCCCATGTATAAGATGCCCCATGTATAAGACCTCCCCCCAGTTTTGATCCTTTTGAGCCCGAGTGCCCAAATCAGCGGGCACCCTCTGGGACCCAAATATAGGCAGGGCCTTTGCTTGGGCTTTCTGTGTTGCGCTCCACTCCACTCTCTCTCCTGTGGCGTCAGAGTTGCAGTCAATGGGCAGCCACGATGCATGCTGAGGGGCGGCCAAGCACGGCTCCTCCTTTGCCTCTGCCTCCTGCTGCTGCTGCCGCCGCTGCCCAATCGCCTCCTCAACGCCAGTCGCAGGCTCCTGTAGCGTTCTCCATTTATTAGATCTATGGTTCATGTTATATTATGTGATGGTTTATGAATATTCATGTTGCTGAGAGGTGGGGTCAAGAGAGATGCTGTAAGAGGCGGAGTCAGAGAGTCAGAGTTATTTTAAGTCAGTTAGAAAAATGTAAGAGTCAGTGTGTAGAGAGAAAGAGGGAGAATAATAGAGTGTGTAGTTTGGGAAATTTAGGTGTGATTAGCTACTGAAGATATTTATGAATCTCGGTAATCAATAAACCAAGGTTTTATTTAAAAGAACTTGACGTGTGGACCTGAATCTTTCTGAAGTAAATGGTGATTTAGAGATCACCTGGTGGCAGCAAGTGTAAAAGAAGAGAGTGTTTGCCTTTGTGTGCTCTGAGGCTTGAAGGTCAAGCAAAGGGGTACGAGGGTGGACGCCACGGCTCCCTTCAGACAGGGGACAAGGTTCTGGTGTGAGCTTGAGCTGAGCCCCAGCATCAAGCGGCACCATTCCCTTCACTGGGCTGGCATCGGTTTGGCTCAGGTGCCCACAGAGAGGGCTCTGCATGGCAGCAGTTCAGCTTACTTCCGTGTATAAGATGACCCTCAATTTTTGTTCTAACTATTTTAGGAAAAAAGTATCATCTTATAGATAGAAAAAATACAGTAATTTATTTATTTATTTATTTATTTATTTATTTATTTATTTATTTATTTATTTATTTATTTGATTGACTGACTGACTGACTGACTGACTGACTGACTGACTGACTGATTGATTGATTGATTGATTGATTGATTGATTGATTGATTTGTATCCTGCCCATCTGGTCTATAAGACCACAGTAATCATGACATGTGAGCAAAGCAAAGCTAATTGTGCTGCTTATATACAGTCCATAGTACTTAAAGCACTCTCTGGGTGGTTTGCAATTTAATAAGGCAGGCTAAGCTTTGCCCGGCCTCCCACCCAGTGAGCTGGGTACTCAGTTTGCTAACTGTGGAAGGATGGAAGGCTGAGTCAATCTCAAGCCAGCTACCTGAGCGTATTGGGATTAGGTCATTGACTGCAGTGCTGCAATATAATCACTGCACCAATTAAGATTTAACTTTATTTATCTTAACCTATAACTATAAAGTACTGTATTTCTAAATACCTTTATGATTAAAGAAAGCAATGACCCACTATTAGAACATCTTCAAGAAGGAAATGACATGGGCAGTCCAGTGGAAACAGCTGCAGACTGTTGGATCCTAAAAATGTCTTTCCCTGTGCTTAGGGACAAAAAGAGTTCTAAAATTTTATACCTGTGAGCTAGAATAATTTATAATCATCATCATAATAACATGCTGTCAAGTCAGTTCTGACTTATGGTGACTTTTCAGGGTTTTTTTAGGTAGAGAATACTCAGAAGTGATTTACCCTTCCCTTCTTCTGGGGGGTAACCTGGAGCTGTGCAGCTTGCCCAAGGCTGCACAGGCTGGGGAATTGAACTTCCAGCCTCTCATTCCACAGTCAGATACCTAACTCACTGAGCTATCCAGACAGCTGTGGAATGATATCAATTGTATGCCAATTGGTGTCTTTTTTGTTCTATTTTCTTTCCTTTTGGTGACGTGTAAGTGGCTACTATAATGAGCAGTTTGGTAGTGAGGTTTCACTTGCTGAATCTTTAACACCTCAGCTTATTTTCCATCCTTTGACTTAGGATAAATGGGAACAGCTGATCACACAGGAGAAATCAGTGGAGCTCTTTGAACATGTGAGCTTGATGACACTTGACAACATCATGAAATGTGCCTTCAGTTATAACAGCAATTGCCAAATGGGCAGGTGAGTATTGGTAAATACTCAGCTCTGTGAGAAGTTCATTTGGCTGGGAACATACTGGGCAGGAATAGAAAAGGATCCAGCTGGCTGTCAAGGTCAAATGTATGACAGCCAATGACGTCAGAGCACTGTACAACTTCATAACACTCTTTGGAAGTTTGGGCCTGTATTCTGTCACTGCTTAAAGTTATACCTAAAAGGGTTAATTTCAGTGTGAGATCAGATAACCTTCAGTCATATCAATGTTCTTCTGGGTATCAAGGTGTTTGTTTCATTGTTTAGGTGCTTATCAGAGAATTCAAACAAACCATTATTTCACTTATGGTGAAATAAACCTTTTGTGACATCCTTGTTGTTCATTCTGTTCTTCCAGGTAGAAAAGTAATTCCGGGCAGCATCAGCTTGCCTAATTCTGCAAGTGTTACTCATTTACATTGCTCCAATATTCTATGTGAAGAAGGAAAATATGCATTTAAATCACTGAAAACATGCAGAGTGGTGCCTCGCTTAATGACAATAATCTGTTCCAGGAAAATCACCGTTAAGTGAAAAATCGTAAAGCGAAATTAAAAACCCCATTGAAATGCATTGAAACCCGTTCAATGAGTTCCAATGGGGTAAAAACTCACCGTCCAGCGAAGATCCTCCATATGGCAGCCATTTTCGCTGTTTGTATAGCAAGGAAT